ATATTTATGTTATTAATTATATTTGTCCTAAATAGTTTTAAGTTAAGTTTTCAAATTTATTTTAATGTAGTTATGTTATTTTTAATTTAATTTACCTTATTTTATTTTGTTAAAATTGTTTGCTCGTTTGTTTTAATTAAACTTAATATTTTTATTTATTTATTTAGTTTACTACTTTTATTTCATAATTAATGCATATTAATAAATAAATTGTGTATAAGTCTTATAATTAAAAGTGGTATAAATTGAACTATTATTATTTTTTTGGGCATCCACTCATGCGTATTAGAGTCACTCTTCGGTCGATTCGTTATCGGATCTCGCACATCTTCCGCGAGGGGAACCGACCTGCTGACTTCCTTGCCTACATCGGGACTTCCACCCCCCATAGGCATATTCTTCATCCTGGCGATATTCATCTCCGCCTCCGTACCTTTATATGGATCTGATGGACTACACATCGTTCAAATTTGGGTAGTCGCCCCTATTTTTGGGTGCTTCTGCTCACTCGTGGTGATGATTTTTCGGCTGGACTTTTCTCGAACCAAGCTCTGATATTTTTGTGTCATTTGCTCTGTTATCTCTTTTTCTTGATTGTTTTTCGTTTGTTGGATTGTTGTATCTTGGACTTTGGACTTGTAGACATGTGACTATCCAGCTCATATCGGGTATTTTTATATACAGGTTGCGGGTCTGGCCTTAATCCCCCACTCTTTCGGGGTGTTGTTTTGCTTAAAAAAAAATATAATATGTTAGAAAAAGAAAGTATTTAACATAAGATGTGGTAGATCAAGTGGGATCCCTTATTTGCAAGAGGTCCCAAGTTTGATTCTTGGCTTCGAAATTTTTTATATGATTTTGATAATTCTGCCACCTAAGCGTCCAACTCAACAAAAAAACAAAAAAAAAAGAAAAATAAAATGAAATTTACACGTATGCTAGCTGGCCACACTTACCTTATACAGGCGATCATAGGACCAAAACGGTAATTTTGTTTCACTTAGAGGACTATTTCCAAAAGTGTACTTTTTTTCTGAGGCCAAAAACAAAAACAAGGTATGTTAGGAGACCAAAAAACTATTTTTGCCTTATGTTAAGCAAGTGAATTGTTTTTTTTTTTTAAAAAAAAATAAAAAAAACGTAGTTACACACACATATATAATTGCTAGCACAACATTTAATAAAAATATTTTCGTTCCACGCCAAAACACGTTACAAAATGCTATCATTAGTATTTTTTTCCTTCCCACTGCATTCCACTTTTATCTAATTGTTACAATCCCTATTATTCAACTTTCATATGTAACTAGTACAACACCTGTGTATTACACGGGTGCTTGCTAATTTTTTTCTTAAAATTTAAAATTAATGAGAAAAAGTAGTTTGAAAAATTAAATACCTTTTATAAGAATATATATATATATATATATATATATAGTACAACGCCCGTGTATTACATGAGTGCTTGTTAATAATTTTTTCCTTAAAATTTAAAATTAATGAGAAAAAGTAGGTGAAAATTTAAATAACTTTATAAAAATATATATATTAGTATACATTTAGTATGACACTTTTTATTTGTGTGACTTACTTGTGTTATATTATAATAATTTATTTATTTTATATATACAAGATAGATGTCAAATCGAAGATCATGAAAAGATGATTAATTTGATATATTATATATGTAAAACCAATAAGAAATACAAAAGTTATCAACTTTTAAAATATATTTTTAATTCAATAGCTAATTGAAGGAAACAAATCAAAAGTTAGGGATATATTAGTCATTTATTGTCTCACTATGTAAAATTATAAAGAATTAAAAGGTTATATTAGTACAAGTGATATTAAAATACCTAAGTTAGCTAAATAATATTTATGGAATGTCCGAACCGAAATTATTAATTATTCATATATCAATATTTTTTGTCCAAACCTAATTACGAAGCATAATTCTTCGCCAAGTAGGATTACGAAGCACCAGAAGCAGTCACGTAGGCTCAGCGCATTCTGAAATTATATATAGGGGATATAATATAATTTCTAATCTTCTAAAACAATTTTAATCATTTGCATTGTCACCCATTTAATCTATATTTTATTTTACTTTTGATTCTTAGTTTGGAATCATATATTAGCAAATTTAATCCAACCGATTTAATATAATAAAATAATTGGTTTGCTACATTCGGATTTTTCTTTTATGTTATGCAAAACTATAAAGGAATTATACATTAATATTACATTACAAAGAAAATACAAACTCAATTAAAAGACAAATACTTATTCCAATGATAATGTGCACATGGATAGTAACAAAAAATATTTATAATTAACCAATACACGATACATTAAATACAGAAAAAAAGAAGCCTTGATCAACTATATGTGTAACATAAATCATTCCATAACAAATTAACTTTTTTTTTTCTGTAAAAATCCACATTGTCCAACAAAATTGTTGCACATCTTTTGTAATATTCTGGTTTTGCTATGAAGCCATCAATTGACAACTTAATTTATTTTGCATTAATAAGTAATTATATTTTTTTATTTATTTTATGATAGACACTATTAACTAATCATACAGTCGTATTAAATGATATCCTATTGTACACTTTTTTAAATAACTTGTTTAATCTATTATTTTATTTTTAGTTTATTAAACAAGTTTTTTTTGTCAAATTAGTTAATTTAGTTTTTATAGCATAATCAAATCCCTTGATTTTTCATACACAATTACTATAATAATAATAATTCTGATATAGCCACATTAGCGTAGACCAGACTAAGTATGGATAGCTCGATCGAGCTTCAATTCGAGCTAAGTCATGATGACTCGAGTTGGGAGTGTCGACCTAAGACGACAGCCATGGTAGTTGATGATTCGAGGGCCTTGACAACGACTTGTGAGATGACGACTTGGATGATGGCTCTAATCAGCAGAATGGCTCGATATAGGCGAAGAGACAAGTAGGTCAGGGACCTCGAGGACGATATAAGGACAATTAGCAAGGTTGCGATCACTTAAGATAGCGGCTTCATTACTCTTTATTGGCTCTAGTAGACTTCATGCCTCTCGAGGTTAACCTCATACACCTCGCAACTCGAGGTTCTTATCGACTAAGGTCTCACCCCGGTATTTAGCAGGCTTAACGAATAAGGATGAATCTTAAGAGGGTAAGATGAAATCGTAAGCTGACTAGGATCTGACTAAAAAGTGGTTAGGATATGGATAAACACTAAAGGTCCGGGCACTCGGGCAGGTATTTCTCCTATAAAAGGGGTTGAGGTATGACCTTATCACAACTTCACACTCTATACATTTTATACTTTTCTATTTACAGAGCACCACCATTATCTTCTTCTTGAGACTGACTTAAGCATCGGAGGCTCTTCGCCGGAAACCCCTCCTGCATTAAGTTCCTACGGGTGCTCGAGGCAGTTCGGATAGATCGGAGCTCATTTCAACCGGTTCGATCTAAATCTAGGAGGTAACACATCAAATTCTAATATTGTTATATCTAATTCATTAGTCATAATCAACCAGGATTGCAAAAATTATATTATTGCGAACAATATAATGATTAATATGTAAGTTAAACAATTTATATTTTTATCATTATTTTTTAGTAATGTTAAAATATATAAAATGTGGTATGATCATTATCTAACATATGATTTTAACTATTGCATACACAGGCATATAACATATAAAATTTTATTTGTATCTGTGTATTTGCACATGATCCAATACTAGTTTGGTAGTGTAGTGCTCAAACTTGCATAATATGATGCTTGGACAAAAATTTATTTACAAAATTCTAATAAATTTTAACCAATCACATTTTTTTGGGTAAAATACTTTTTCTCATCCGAACTATCACGGTTTTGGCGCATCACCATATAAACTAATTTTTTTTACAAACCACCATATGAACTATACGGGTTTGTCAATATGCCCCCTAAACCGGATATAAAAGTGGTTTAGGGGGCACATTGACAAACCTGTGATAGTTCATATGCTGGTTTGTAAAAGTATTTAGGGGGCACATATGGTGACCAAACAGCTTTTTCAGTCAAAACCACTTTATATCTGATTTAGGGGGCACATTGACAAACTTGTATAGTTCATATGGTGGTTTGTAAAAAAAAATAGTTTATATGGTGATGCGACAAAACCGTGATAGTTCGGATGGGAAAAAATATTTTACCCATTTTTTTTAACTCAAATCTAACTCAACTCCAATTCACCACAATATAATTAATATTATCAATATAATTAAATAATAACACTCAATCATTCTCACACGTTACATCAACTTTAATTCACTAATCATAATCATCCACTCACATAATTTTAAATAACCATCAATTCACTTCATATATAGCCTATTTTTATATCAAATTAATTTTAATTATTTATTTTAAGTATTAATCTGATATAAACTCAAAAAACACTCCGAGAATAAGTGATGCCAATCCTATCATGATGTAACTATATGCTCACCCCTGGCGGAAGACTCGCCAACCTCTGCAAATAAAAATATTTCTTTTTGCTCAGTTGGACACTTTGTGTTCCTTCATTCGGCCTTGTTGCTTGTATGCTAATTAGTCCCTGAACTATGTTTGCTTCTAGTTCGAGTTATAATTTTTTTCATTTCTCCTTTTAAATCAAAGCAATGGACCAATCACCCAGAGTTCACACAAACAAGTAGCGAAAAACCAAAACACAGTCTACACACGAACAAAAACGCAAGAAATCAAGACAAACTACATGAACCAAAGTCAAGCGACTTCATAAACCAGAAGAGTCTTTAACACAAACTCAACCGCGCGGGAAACCAAGGCAAACTACATCAACCAATACCAAGAGACTTCCTAAACCAAAACATTCTTCAACACTAACTTAACCGCAAGAAATCAAGACAAACTACACAAAACCAATTGCAAATGTAGCTTGCTAGGAATTAAAACAAACCCATCCATCCCTGAATTTACAGCTTCAACTTGAACCCCTTGGAGAGGAAATCATCTCTTGTCTTCTTAACCTTATTTTCCTTCACTTGCCACCCATCTTTCTTAACCTCTTCCCTCGAGCCACCCGGAAAAACAAGACTCTTGACACAAGGCACAAGCTGAATCAAATAGGGTACTGCACGAACTCGAATTTTTCTTCTAGTTTTCATCTCCAGATCATACCAAACAAACTCAAACACATTGCTGTACAACAGAACCTTCTTTCGATCCTCAGAGTAAACCAGCGGCTTGAAATAAACTAGAGGGCTCTCACATCTATGTAAATCAACCGATGTCAGAATAGTCCAAGAATCTCTAACCCCGTACTCCTTCATCACCCATATGTTCACCCGGGACTCATCGAAACAGGATACACAAAGACAATCACCAAGCAAATCCAACCCCATAATGGTATTAGCCGGGACTTTCAAAGGAAACAAAACCTCGAAATACTTTTCGGCCTCGATGCCAAATCCCACGATCTTACAATCATGAGATGAATCCGCACACAGCATGTGCAGAGACCCATTGACAGGCCCAACCCACAACTGATAAGTGCACGAGAGAGAACAGGGGAAAGGGTCCACCTCCCTCCACACTTTGGACCTGAATGTGAAGACCTCAGTTTTCGAACACACAAGGTGATGCGCAATGTGTTTACACTCCAAATTACGGATAACTTTGTAATCGTCGTTTATCGGGTCGTATCCCAGCCCCAATAACTGCTCGGGAAAATGGTGGCCGCGCGTGCATCTAGACGGGGAATCGGGAAAAGCCCGGTGCTTTTTTAGAAATGGGTTCCACAGGTAGAGCAGGCCGAAGGTCTCGGTTGAGACAACGATTATGCCATTACATGGGTTAGAAACGTCTTCAATTTCGCCGCCGGTGAAAGGTGGTTTGCAGACGCGGGCTTTTCTAGGGTTGTCGAGCGGGCCCAAATCGAGGACGTGGTAGTTCATGCCGGTCTCCGTGAGGATGAGGGTGTGGTTACGGTATGATTCGGCGGATTTCTTCAGGTGTGATTTGACGAGATCTGGACCGTCGATGATTCGCCGCCATGATTTGGACACGCACCTGAACCGCAAGAGGGATTTCGCCGGCAGCCGTGAGAAGATCTCCTGAAGAAGCTCCGTAGGAAGCATGGCGACGAACTTTGAGATTTTCGATTTCTAACTGCTATTTTTTCGACTTGGTGGTGTGAGTGAAGAACTGTTGCATTGTTCAGTGCTAGGGTTTTAGCGAGTGGGGACAGAGAGATGCACAACTACTCGGGAAATTTCATCCAACCGTTGGTAGTCACAAATTTTAGCCGTCAATTAATATACATCCTCTCAATGTGTAACTATCATATTATCTCACTAGTCTATAATCATTTTAGAGATTATTAGGGCCCACTAATCACTTAGAGCATCTCCAATGATGAACGTGAATTGTGGTATATAATAGATGGCTTCTATCCACGTGGATAGAATAGAATGACAGGTTCATAAATAACTCTTCAATGGTCTACACACAGTAAATGTCTATACAAGTTTTTTTATAATTTTTTTTCTTTTGTTGTTCTAAAAAATAAAAAAATAATAAAAAAAGATTGCAGGTCATACCAACGATATATATTGCACAAAAAGTTTATTCAAGGTGACAAAATATATATTATTATTCTCCTGTGCTTGTAGTGTATAATGATGATATTTATTATGTATTTTAATGTATAATTTTAACAAAATATATACTATTAAATTTATAATAGGTATTTTGTATCGGTATTTTTTTTAAATCTCCTTTATTATGTATTTTAATACATACTTATAACAAAATATATACCATTAAAATTATAATATGATTTTAGAAGTCTTTCAATTTTTTTCTTTTATTTTTTTTATGTAAATTAATTTGTCTTTGATAAGTGTGTACAAATAATTACCAACAAACTATAATTTAATCAACGACTTACATTATCAATTAATTTTTTTCTTCAAGTTTAGTTAGTCTTGTTTAGTTAATACTATATACTCCTATATGTTTTATTAAATTTTATTGTTTATCAATTATATAAGGATAATATAAAATAAAAAAAATAAACACAGGAAAAAAATACTCATCACATCTAGAAGGACTTCTACATGTAGAAGGACTTCTAGAATAATTCTATCTCTTTCATGCCACATCAGCATAAATAGAAGCAGAAAAAATACCGCTGGAGAAGTTCTTTTATCAGATTGCTTCTACAATCTCGCAATTAACATACGATTGGAGATGCTCTTACTCGTCTATATTATATCCACCTCAATATTTCACTAAAGTATCTATTTATTTAAACATTTATTGACACATTTAAGTGTGCAATTATATATGCATTTACATCTATTTCATTTTAGAAACAACCGTATTAAAAATCGTCCTAGGCGGTCGTCTAGGTGCTAGGCTGTCCGACCACCTCCAATTTGCCTGAATCGGTAAAATAATTGATTAAGCAGGCCTAGACGCTTATCCTGCGAGGCGTTGGCCGGCCTAGGCGAACTTAGGTGCTCCCAAGCGGGCTCGACGGTAATTTTTTTTCTTGTTTTTTTTTTTATTTTTTAAATACTAATTACATTATTTTTTTTATTGCATTTTCATTATAATGTAGTATTATTATTATTTGAACTTAGGTGTGTGCATTTATTATAAATTGAGATAATTTTCTTTGTATGTAATGAAAATAAACAAAAAAAAAAATTATAATCTTAATTTTTAGGCCATGCTTAGGCGCTCTAGGTGTTGGTGGAGCGCCTAGTTGGCGCATAACTACTTCTAGGACACTGGATGAACCCCGAACAAGCCCATTGGATCAACTCGAAATTAGGTACGGTCTTGATGAGGTCATTTACATATGGCAACTATCATACAGTTAAACTCGAAGCAATCAGATCGACACCAGGTCGACCCAAGCAATAACTCTCTGGGTCAACCAAGTTTGATCATGTCATTTAATCTTTTTTTTTTTGTAATATTTTTGATGTAAGAGATAAATGTATATGTACATATTGATGTGGTAAAGATTTATGACGAGATACAATTGATATAGCCTTAAGTGTGTGAATCGGAAATCTACAAGTGTGGGGAGCTCGACCGGAGTATTAAACGACCTATAGGTCATGAGGCGCGGGTACCAAAACGACTCTTACCCCAAACAACTTGGGGTTCACAAGACCTGAGGACCCGCGGACGACTGGAGTACCTGTGGACGATCTGGATTATCCCAAACGACCTAAGCAACCAAAGAAGCAAATCTAGCTCGACCACGATGGTGAGATATGGAATGGATGACCTAGAGAGTGACCACGACCTAGACCAACTGGGATATCAAAGATAAGAAGGAATTTTAAGAGGCTAAGATGGAATCTAAAATTGACTAGGAGACGATTATGATATAGATTGGCACTAAGCAGATAAGATCAAGCGCGGGCAGTCGGACAGGCTATTTCGAGCATGTATTTCCTTATAAAAGAGACCGAGGTACACTCAAATCTACATTACATCCTACATACATTGCTTACAACTCTTGATTATAGAGTACTCATTATCTTCCAGTGTTGACTTAAGCATTGGAGACTCTACACCGTAATCCCTCCGACGTTGAGTTTTTGCAGGTTTACGCGCGACGGTTTAAGCGGATCGGAGTCGTTCTCAACCGGCTCTACTTAGACCTAAGTAGTACCCATCAACAACATTATTAAAAAAACTTAAAAAATATAGAATTTATACGGTAATTATTATTTTTATTATTTTTCTTTAAAATATATTTAACTTTTAGAATTAAAATTATTTGTACGTACTTATAATATATTCGGTAAATTTTTTAGATGATAGAGTGTATTTTATGATTTGAGATGTAAAATTTACATAAACATACTTATGTTATTTTTCTAAAATATACTAAATTTAAAATAAGTCTCTTTGCATATATTTTTGGTAAAAATTTATGATGAAAATAATGATACCGAGACTTTGAAATATATGTTTTCCTTATAAAATAATAGGGAAAAATTCAAAATTAGTCCCACAGATATAGGGGGGTGACATTTTTGGTCCCAACGGAATCCATAAAATATTAATAGTCCCGCAACTTTTAAAAAATGATCAAAAGTAGGACTTTTTTCAATTTTCCAGCCCGGAATGCCACGTGGCCACATTCATCTGACGTGGCTGAGTACAATGGCAAGAAAAAAAATCAAAACTAGTCCCACAGGTTTTGGGAGGTGACATTTTTTGTCCCAAAAGAATCCATAAAATCTTAAATAGTCCCGCCACGTGTGTGCCACGTGGCATTCTGGGCCGGAAAATTAAAAAAGTCCTACTTTTGATTATTTTTCAAAAGCTGCGGGACTATTAATATTTTTTTAATTCCGTTGGGACCAAAAATGTCACCCCCTTATACCTGTGAGACTAGTTTTGAAATTTTCCCTAAAATAATATTTTCCGTTGTTTTATTGAAAATAGACTTAAAATTATTGTTGATTTTTAAAACTAAATTAATGTAACATTTTGATTCATTCTTTTGCTTAAAGACCTTGTCGATGCAGAAAACCCTTGTTGGGAGACTCACCCACCACTGCCAGCTGTGCGACCCGGAGCGACCAACGGATTAGTCGGGACATTGCTTCAGATACCGTGCCTGGCTACAAAAAAAAAAAAAAAGATTATATCAAAACTCTTTTGTTTAATGATTATATACCAAAATATCCACACTAGCATCTACTATACATAGAATCTCATCGCTATCTTTTAGTTGGTGGTTTTTTTGCCGATAACAAGCGTGTGTAATCCGACAAATATAGTTGAATCTCTACCTTTGAAACACTTGTAACATACTCAATATCAACAGTTGATACATTTTATGCATTGTTTTACAACCCGGATTGGCCCGGCGGGTTGACTAGGGACCCGGCCAATCTGGAGTCGGAACCGTCTGGGTGGACTATTTGGACTGGGTAACAATGGACTCAGTCAAACCCAGTCAACCCTCATTGACCCGGTCGACCCGGGTCATTGACCCGGCCGGGTCAACCTGGTTGACTCCGTCTTTAATATTCTTTATATAAAAATATAAAAACGATATAAATTTATTGATATAGTAAATATATATTGTGAGATACAATTCTTTTAACATTTTGACGTACAATTTTATATACAAAACATTTATTTTTGTTACTTTTATGTATATTTACATGTCAAAAGTACTATATATAATTTAAAATGTTTTAAATTAATTATCCGATTCAACAATTGACACGGTAACCCGTGGGTTGAACTGGTGACCTGGAGACCTGCCCAGTCGATTTCCGTATAAAAACTATGATTTTATGTGTAGAGCTTTTTTTTTTTTCTTTTTCTTTTTTTGGCATTTGTAACCGTTGACCTCTCACACAAAGCTACCATATGCAACTCCACCTTATTCACTCGGGCAAGAGACAATTTAATTGGCAAGAAATGGCATTCCTTCCTTCATGCCTTCATCTTCTAAAATACTTATTCATCTTACATCTTAGTTTGGGGAAATGTTACGGTTCCGTTACGAAACCATTCCATCAGAGTTTGTAATCGTTAGATTATTATGTAGCCGTTGGAGATAAACGGTTACAAACCCTGACGGAATGGTTCCGTAACGGGACCGTAGCATCTCCACTTAGTTTGCACCAAAAAACTATCCCTTGCGTATATCACAAGAGATTGAGAAAAACACTACCCAAAGAGGAAACACAAAATCTTAAAAATACCAAATATCCTCCCATGCAAGCCATCCTTTTCCCTCTTTACCTACCCAATCCATCAATGGTCGTCCAACTAAAATGATAAGAACTCCCGTTCAACACGTCATTTTTCCATCTCTAC